ATTAATACATAATAATAATTTAAATAAAGAAAATTTATTCGAGCATTAAAAAACAGGAAAAAGAAGAAAATAAATACTAAATAATTAGTTGAAAAATAAATTAGCAACAATTTAAGTTACACTGACAATGAGTTAACTGTTTTGCTAGCTGTGTGTCGTACAGAGTGACCTAACTGTATTAACCATTTGTCCTAATATACACTTTTATCCAGACAATATATGTATACACGTAAATCATACTTAATTATCCATATTACAATAAATTTGATTATATTAAATTATTAAAAAATTACGTTTTTGGGACCATATATTCTAATTTTATCAATATTCCAATTCTATCAACTACCAATCTGTAATATATGTTTAAATAAATCACATGTAATTATATGATTGTACAATGTATTTCAAGTGATATGATAAAAATAAACAAATAAGTAAATATATTAATATTAGAACTAACAAGATTATAGTGAACATATCAAATGCTATAGTGGTATAGCAAATTAACAATCAAAACGATAGTAATAAAAATGATTATTTATTCTATTTTTTGAAATTCGTGGAAATTAAAAACTGAAAAGGTACATGAATATATGTGTTCATATTTCTATCTCTGTAAAAATAAAAATTAGGATAAAATTAAATAAAATTAAAATAAAATCATAATTAAAAAATGAACTATAATTCTGCCAAAAAACAGCTGAATATTTCCACAAATTTCAAAAAAGAAAAATCAATAAATAATAATTTCGATTACTATAATTTTGCTATAATTTGCTATATACCACTTTAACATTTGCTAAGCTAACTATAGTTTTCCTAGTTCGAATATTAAACAGCCAAGGGATTAACATCCGAATTAATAATTAAATATCATATATACTTTACTGATTCGAACAAAAATACATTGCAATTCTTTCCATTTCAATTCGCTCGCCAAATCCTCAATTTCTATATTTGAAATTCAATTTCCCATTTAATTTGCAAGGATAATGAACTGCTGCAAGTTTGTCGAACGTAAATCGTTGTTAAACAATTGGAAAAATATTTTTCTCCGAAGAAGCAATGCATTCCTGAATGAAAGATGACGTGGGTAATTAAATAAGTAATGAAAAACTAAACGGACGTCAAAGAGGCTGATTTAAATCTTGCTACGAAGAAATGGTGGGAAATAACAATGCAAGTAGAAAACATCGATTACAATGATGTTTTTCCGGAATCACGTAACCATTAGAATGAATTATGTCGTTGAATGAAATCGATTATCTGTCAGAGGCATGAAGAATCAGGAAATTACGCTCGATGAGAGATTCAATTATTTCAGCCTTGACAATCGACCGGGAATTTGAATAACAATATCGAATCTTCTTTCAGACTGTCTCACCATCCAAGAGGGTATTATCAATCACCCACGCTGAAAGTCCACTTCGACGAACTTGGATTCGTAATTTCATGCAAATCCTCTGAATAACCACCAACTTTCAAAAGTCACACTGTCACACAAATTTTGTTGAATTTTCTATTAGTTGAAACACTCGCGAGATTGTGGAATAATCGAAGGATATACTTTTTTAAATTTTCTGTCACTGAAACACATCACTTTTCATTCACTGAAAGAATATTCTTGTTCGTTTCGTTAAATAAAATCAATTTTTACTTGATAATTGAACAAATGTAGTTGTACAGAAACTGACACACGGGTAAAAATCTGTTATCAGATTGAAATAATTTTTCTTTAGTCCTTACTCAATATTTAAAATATAAAATAGTTTAATATTGGGGTATTGATAAGTTTATAAATTGAAAAATTGAAAATTGAAAAATTAAAATAAATTGAGAAACTGGAAATTGAAAAATTGGGAAGAAGAGAAATTAAAAAATTGGAAAATTAATATAATGGAACATTGAAAGTCGAGAAATTGGTGAAATGAAAAATTGGAATGTTAATAAATTGGAAGATTAAAAAATTGAGAAAGTAAGAAGTTGAGAAAATAATTGAAAAATTTAAAACTTAGGAGATTTGGAAATGGAGAAATTAAAAAACTGGAAAATTGAGAAATTAAAGAATTAATAAATTGAAAAATTAATAAATTGGGAGATTGCAAATTGGGTAATTTAAACAATTGGAAAATTGAGAAATTAAAAAATTTGGAAATGGAGAAATTAAAAACTTGAAAAATTAAGAAACTAATAAATTGACAAGTTGGAAGTTGAGAAAGGAAAGGATTAAAAAATTGGAAAATTAATAAATTGTAAGATTGACAATTGAGTAATTGAAGAATTTGGAAATCGAGAAACTAAATAACTGAGAAATTGAGAATTAAAAAATTGAGAAATTGAGAAATTAAAAGATAAAGAAATCAAGAAATTGAAAAGTCTTTTAAGAATAATAATTATTCGTCACGATTATTATCAGGTATCAAAATTTTAGCTAAAGGGCTTTCTACAAATATTTGTATTTTACGTCACTTGCCAGAAATTTTGTGAACACGATGCGTCGAAACTGCGAAAATGTCTTTCGTACACTGAAAACCGACTTAGAAATCACACGTGACTACTTACACGGGCGGTCGAGTACCTGAAGCGGACGTGAACGACCGTAGCTCCGGAACACGTGTACCATCCATGACAGTTGCGTACTATCTAAGATCATCGTGCTTCATGATTACCCCACCTCCCATTTCTTCTAGGAGGAGGAGCACAATTTTTCGCGCCCACGAACGAACCAACTTTGAATTTTTATTTCGCCATTGTACTCGCACTGAATGGTAAGTCCAAGTGCTAACCAAATAAATAAGTCGCTGATTTAAATAAAATTAGCGAATATCGATAATAATATTACTAAAATTAATATTTGTATTTGCAATATTTGAATTAATACTAAAATTTATGATATGAGAATTAACTAATCTTGATTAATTAATTATTCTCATACATTGTACAGTTAGTTCTTCAGTACCTGTAGTAACTGTAATTTTTACATACTTATCTTATATATAATTGTTTCTACATGTAGTCCCTTTTTTCTACAATTTAATTTTCTGTTTATTTAAAGTATTTAATTAATAAAAATTTTAATAAAGTAACTGAACTAAATAAAGTATTCAATGAATAAATATATAATTGGATGTATTAATTATTATATTACAAATTAGTATTTCTCATCCTTAAATTTATAATAAATCGCAAAACAGAAAATCTAAAATAGTTAATCCAACATTTTTCTATAGTTAAATATAAATTTGAAAAAAGGAGAATATTAATGATAAATTAATTTAAATCCCTCACTAGAAATTTACTAAATATTATTCTTTACACTTAAAAGTTATTATGAAATGTACATAATTTTGTATATTTATATAATTATAGTAACCTCAATTTACAAGATCTTAAAAAATTACAAATTACAAATATTTGAATCAAGGTACAATTATAAACAAAAATATTGGTTACTTTTATCAAAAGAATTGATAAATACAGTTATGTATTACAACATAAAAATTCCTGGCAATAAAAAGACTACTTCAGGTAGAATTTACTATATTCAAATTACCTGTGCATACAAATTTTTACTAAAATTCCTGGGGAATTTTTTTTAAGGATTTTCTGGTTTCATGAATTATTTTATGAATTAAGGTGCCAATTCTTCATCGACTATTTATCATTGCACTAGAATATATTAATTGACATATACTGTACTATCTGACGTAACATAACCTACAATATGTATATATGTATATAATATATGACGATCGAAACTGACTGGTCGACTGCATAAAAAGTAAATTGTTTAAATAAAATAAATAGTTTAAGATATTTGATTAAGGATTTTCCGGTTTCATGAATTATTTTATGATTTAGGGTGCCAATTCTTTTTCTTCATCGACTATATATCATTGCACTAAAATATATTAATTGACATCTATTATATTACGAAATATTGACATATACTGTACTATCTGACGTAACATAACCTACAATATGTATATATGTATATAATATACGATGATCGAAGCTGACTGGTCGACTACATGAAAAGTAAACTGTTTAAATAAACTAAATAGTTTAAGATTATCTGAACATCAATGCTTCTATCAACTATTAAATCATCGATTTGCATATATTCATTCTTTGTTACCGAGAAATATTTTTTACTTGTCTTGCGTCTTTTCCGAGAAACGATACGCGTTTCTGGATTCCACGTTAGACGCTGTACGATTGTTGATTTTCACAATGAATCTTTTTCTATTTAAGATCCAGCAGGATTTGCCTTGAACTTAAGCGTATGATTAATTTATGCACAAAACATGACGCTAAGTTACGAACGATAGCGAGGAATAAATTTCAAGCCAAATGTGCTTCCAGCCTCGATTTGCATAGATTCTTGAATAAATTTTTCTTCTCCTCCGAATTCCCGATGAATGATTAATAAAATTCGAAGCTGTTTCAATTTTCAGTCTTTATAATCTTTATAAAGTTTCTGATCATCTTTCCTTCTCCTTTTCCCATCGTCATCATCCCTTTGCATGAATGCATCAAGGACTATAATGCAATCTATGATACACAACAGTGTACATTATAGATATGTATATATAATTTATATTATAATATATTATATAATTATTCATATTTCAATTATAATATATTATACAATTATAATTATATAGTTATATATAATTTAGAATATACAACTTACAATATTATAATTTAATACATAATTTACAATATTATAATCTCAAATGAATGTAACTTTACATCCCAGATACATTGAAATTGTACAAGACTCAGTAAGTCTCCTTTTCTAATTGCTTTTTATTCTATATATAAAATTTCTCTTATTTATTAAATTATTAAGTTAAATTTTTTTTTAAATTATTTCGGGTAATTATTTTTTGTTTGAACGTACTTCTTTAAAGGATTTGACATATAAGATTTGGCAGACAATGGGCCTGCAGGAGTCGATACCGATCCGTGTGGACCAATGCCTCTGTGTATAGCTAATGCACCTTACGACAATAATAGGTATAGCACCGCAATTTTGCACACTATAGTGGGCTGTATCGCAGATAGTTAATTAAAAAATAATAAACAACACATCCCACATTAGTATATTAATTGTCCAAAACATTGCAAAAATTTACTATAAACGTAGAATATGACCCGGAATTACTGAAAATTATTTGTGTCATAATTATTATTTATAGTGAGAAAAAGAAAATTCCGAAAACACGTATCCTTTATTTTGATTTATACATGGATCACGTGTATTCATTTACACAAGAATGAATTAACATTCAGTACGATGAACGATAAAAGTATTATAATATAATATATTATAAGTATTATATATAATATAATAATATAAGTTATATTTTAAATGTAAAATGCTATATTACATATGCAAGAAAAAATTTGATTCTACCTCATTTGGTTCTGGATGTATTCCCAAAAATATGCTTTTAACCCCATCTTTAGAGCCTGATTTCTATGATTACTGATAAAAAGAAATACGTGTTAAATATTTTTCTGAGAACTATCTCTCACATAAATTTCGCCAAAATTGGCGTGTCTGAGTTGGATATGTTCCCTCGTGAGAACGGAATTTTTCCTAAATTGGGATATAAGTAAGTAAGTAAACTGTTAGTCTGCCTCTGTCTAAAACAATTTCCTGAAAATTGTTTCCTAAAAATCCAAACCTAAAACAATTTCCTAAAAATTGTTTCCTGAAAATCCAAACCTAAAACAATTTCCTAAAAATTGTTTCCTGAAAATCTAAACCTGAAACAATTTCTTAAAAACTTTTTCTTGAAAATCCAAACCTGAAACAATTTCCTAAAAACTGTTTCTTGAAAATCCAAACCTAAAACAATTTCCTAAAAATTGTTTTCTGAAAATCCAAACTTAAACCAATTTCCTAAAAATTGTTTCCTAAAAATCCAAACCTAAAACAATTTCCTAAAAATCCAAATCTAAAACAATTTTCTGAAAATTGTTTCCTAAAAATCCAAACCTAAAACAATTTCCTAAAAATTGTTTCCTAAAAATCCGAACCTAAAACAATTTCCTAAAAATTGTTTCCTAAAAATCCAAACCTAAAACAATTTCCTAAAAATTGTTTCCTGAAAATCCAAACCTAAAACAATTTCCTAAAAATTGTTTCCTGAAAATCCAAACCTGAAACAATTTCTTAAAAACTGTTTCTTGAAAATCCAAACCTGAAACAATTTCCTAAAAATTGTTTTCTGAAAATCCAAACTTAAACCAATTTCCTAAAAATTGTTTCCTAAAAATCCAAACCTAAAACAATTTCCTAAAAATCCAAATCTAAAACAATTTTCTGAAAATTGTTTCCTAAAAATCCAAACCTAAAACAATTTCCTAAAAATTGTTTCCTAAAAATCCGAACCTAAAACAATTTCCTAAAAATTGTTTCCTAAAAATCCAAACCTAAAACAATTTCCTAAAAATTGTTTCCTAAAAATCCAAACCTAAAACAATTTCCAAAAAATCCAAACCTAAAACAATTTCCTAAAAATTGTTTCCTAAAAATCCGAACCTAAAATAATTTCCTAAAAATTGTTTCCTAAAAATCCAAACCTAAAACAATAGCTAGGAATACCGATTTTAAAAATTTTTATACAACAAAATCAATTTACCTCGAAAGACATAAACCATAGTATGATTACGCATTGCGTTGCCAGCAGTTTGACAATAGGATAAAGATGCATGCACGTTTTATTGCTCTGTTGCAACTAACCTTTTCCTCTTCCTCGATTGCAAGGACGAGAAGATTCTCCGCTGTACCAAGAGCCTCATGAGAATTACTTAGATCTTGCCTTGATTATTTTCAACTGCCGCAAGGATACCGTGCAAACTCAATTACGATCGGAACCCTCGATACGTCTCGATTATCGATTCACCGCGATCTATAACGTACGAACCTCGGTGACCTTATAATGAAACCGACATTTTTACCAGTGGAATCCTAAAACTGGCATTCAAGCTTCCTTCGTCGTACCATTAAATAGATCACGACGATAGGACTCTTGAATATTTCCTTTTAATTTTGTTTTTAAATTAATAAAGCTTTCTTACAACTTTCCCTTGTTTGTTCGATATTCATCCGTTTCGACTGACCTCGAGGAAATTGATTTCAATTAAAGGAAATTAAGAATTTTTAAATCAGAAGAGATTTAAGACTCCGAGGATAATTGGAACAAAAATTTGTTAATTTCAAACCCTGCAATCGAAGAAAATTAAAAATTATTTAAATCAGAGGAAATTAAAAACTGTGAAATTAAGGGAAATTTAAGAGCCTGAAATTACAGGAAATTTACGATTCTGAAATTAATGGAAATTAAAAATTTTGAAAGCAGGGGGAATTAAAAATTTTTAAATGTAGACAAATTTAAAAAAATAAAATTTGAATGTCGAATTCTTATTCGTTACTGATCTATTTAAATGGTAATCCTAATTTTGTAACATTTATATAACGAACTTTGTAAATTGATCTTATAACTATATTATAGATAAATAGATAATCAGATATTTTTTAAATTGCAGCTCGAATTACTTGTATTCTTATATTTAGCACCTTCTAGA